GAGGTCAAAAAAACTATTTTATTTGAAGGTTTCGTTTGTTATTCTTTACGTCACTTAATAGCAGAAGTTTTTGTAATGGTTTATCGAAAAAAGACCCCTAAAAATCAAATCGGTGGATATGATTTAAGCGTAACTCGTTTGTTTAATAACATAAAGCCAACATTTATTATCTACTTTCAAATACAACATTTTAGTCCAAAATTTTCAATGTAACCTTATTTATTATTCATTAGGCCATAGTCGATACTGATGCAGTAGTTTTGTTTTGCAATATCACACAATGTAAAATAAATTCATATTATTGATTTAGCAATCGATTTCAAGAGAGCAAGCTTTAGAAATTAAGAAAATGTTCAAGATCGATTGATATATTTGAAGTAACTTTATTTATATAATAAACTCATATAACATTTGATATTTAGTCAAAAGATTTGAACATATTTATAATGAAAGCAAATCGAAAAAGATGTAATAAATGATAAAATAATAATTTAACAATATTGGCGCTCGTTTTATATGATGACTTAGGACTTTAAAGCGGGCCGTCATCCCCTTTCAATATTAGTTACGGATAATAAACAGAAAACTTTTTTCCTTCAATACAAGACAGATCTATTTTCGGATCTCCAGGATTAGAAACTAGAAATCAAAAATTATAAATACATCAATGAGCTTTTTTTATAATAATCTCTAAAAACAAAAACAATACATACTTTTAAATATAAAATCATATTCAATTGTAGTATTCTTGGGATCATCTGGATGTGTTTCAAGATGTAAAGGAGTAATATACTTAAAACTCCCAGGTGCAACAGGACATTTAGCACCATTTACTTCAACCCATACTTTACAAAAATCCATAATATGCTCAAAAGCATGTGTTCCTTGGTACAGTCCTGTGACGTTTACCGTTGCCCCTTCAAGAACTGTTACAGTATTTGTTCCAGAGAGAGTAACTGTCATGTTTTGCCCAGAAACCGCCGGAATAGGGTCGTATGAGATGGCTGTAATTTCATTTGGAAATCCACCTTGGCATTTTGTAATGGCAAGATCACGTCGAAAAGTGGATGATGGAAAGGACATAGTAAACGTGACAAGGGTCAAAAACAACGAAAGAGTAAAGAATTGATGCATCGATGCTGTATTAATAACTTGAAAGTGGAATAAGGAATATTTTGTTATCAATTATTTGATGCAATTGAAGGAAGAAGGTTAGTTCAGATCAAATGTCTTTTATACTTTTAGAATTTATAATGTATTATTTCTCTTTGAAATACTGAATAACTAAAATTAGAACTCATTCTATGTTAAAGTCATAGATAAATCGAGTAATAAAATAAAAAATATTGTGATTAAACTATTCATCATATGGATTTCTAACTTCTCATTCATTTTTTCCCTTTAATGAACCAATGGATTTTTTATATAAGTTTTGTCCGATACATGCAGCCATACAACTGTAGTGAAACAACAAGTTCATCTCTATCCGAAAATGCTTCCGAACTTTAAGTAGGAATTTTTGGCAGCAGAACAATGAATAAATTTTTATGTTTATAGTGCAAATTCTTATATTTGATCCTTTAAAGATGTGGCTCTGTGAAATCGATTTCCTAATAGGTATTGTTACATAACATGACTATAACGCAGACATTTTATTGTTTTATTTCTTCATTTATACGAAAATTAGATATTCAGATTCTATGTAACAGTAACGGCATCTTTTAAAATCAACGCAAATTACTGTAACAGTTAACGTTAAGACTTAAAGTTGATTAGCGTTATATTTTGGGCTTACGTAAGAAAAAACACATAAACCAGCACATTAGCACGCCCAAATATCCATGTTAATTATATTTTTGCCTTTAAAAGTTAAATGATATATATATACGGGATTAATTTTAATTATAGATCTATTATTTTTATTTTTTAGTGTTGCTATTTCAGTATTTGGCAAATTTGTCTTAACGTTAAACCGGAGCGAATTTAATAATGATCTATATTCTGCATAAGTTCCATTCTTGATATTTATATAACATACAAGCCATAATAGCATCAAAAAGGTAACCATAAACCTCGCTCCGCTTTAACCGGCCAAAAAAGGGAATTTTTCTACGAAGATCAGGTGCAATCTTTGTGTAACGCGAAATCGAAGGCTTTTTCAAAACATCACCGATAAATTAAAATTTTTCCTATGAAATAACCTTTCACGTTCTAATTAAAAAACTCCTGGTCAAATTTTATTAATATATTTTCCTTATCCAAAACCAACCTTAACCCTAACGCTGGTCAAATTTCAAAACTGGGTAAATTTGCCCAGGCGTCGAATAATTTATTTTTTTACAATTTTATTTTTACCCGAATTAAAGTTATTAATAGGCTTAATAGTAAAAGGCAGTGTTTAAAATCAGTTCCGCTCATCGTTTCACCGAAAGCTCATCATATTAGGGTTAGCATTTGGTAAATTTTAAGTGTGATGTCGACTAAATAAGCTGTCGGTGAAATTCGTTTAAAATTTGCAGTTTAAAATGTTTTCAGTGAACATTTAAAAATTTTACAAATATAAATTATTGGAAATTGTTCTCTATTTGAGAACATTAAACAAAATTTTCTGATATTAAAAAAAAAATTTTAATTTCTAATACTGAATTAGTATTTAGATAGATTTTAGAAGTTCTGAATGTCAAGTTTTTTTTTAAAAAAAAAAATTCTTTTAGTTTGTTTGTCAAGAGAATTAAGCCGAATATTATTTTATTTGAATAAATTTTAGGAATAAATATGCTTTTTATGAGGACTTTTATTATTAGCACTCTTAGGTGTACCATAATACTTTTCTTTACATTACAGTATTATCAAATGACAATAATTTTTATAAAAATAAATAAGTTTATTGATGTACTTGAGGCGTGCATTAGTGATGGATAGATCTGCCCTTGTCAGTCACGGTCTCTATTGGGCTGATTTAATAGTGTTTATTAGTCGGTCAGTCCATCTTTCAGTTTTGAAATCAGTTTTTAAGAATTTAATATATATATATATTTAGAATTTATGTTTTTTACCATTAAGATTTGTCTCTCACTTAATTTTCCGAGGTCACCTGTCTTCGAACAAAAAACTCATTTATGTTAGGGTCTGGGCATATTCTAAGGCTGGGAAAGAGGGTTTGATAGTAAAATTGCACGAGGAATTTTTTTTGTTAGAGATAAACGTAGATAGCGTGCTTTAATTCTGATTGGTCAATCCCTGAATGTATCGTTACATATACATTGAATATATCACTTGACTTTAAACGAATTGTTAAAGCATGCGGCATAGATATTCTGAAACTACAATTCTGTTTTCTAACGTACCAAACTAATCCAGTGAAAGGTTAATTAATCCAGAAGTTAGCGACGGGGTGCACTTTTTGTCTTATAGGTTAGAGTAATTTAGTAATGAGCAAGGTAAATTGTATCTTTGCTAATAAGTGTTGTTATAGTTTTTTTTTCTGAATATAGGTTATTCGATCATGTTTTCAAAAGCTATAGTATATTTATATAAGACATGTACGATTACATGCTATGTTTTGCAGTTAGTGTTTGATTTTTTATATTGTATATGCCTTCCATGAGCGTGCTTTACACTTACTAATAGTTGGCGGTACTTTTTAATTCATTTTATTATTTATTATTTATGTTGTTATTTAAACTATGTACTAGTTAGCGAACGATTTGGTTAATAAAGATTATTAAGATACATATTTAATGAATTGTTAAGCTTAATGATATTATTCTTTTTATTAAGTTTGACCAAATACGTATCTGATAATGACTATTTGGATCCAAGCGTTAAGAATTATTTTTGTCAAATTTTTTTGATTTTCTATTGGCCAATCAGATTTTGCAACGTCAAAAATGATCTATGCTGATAAACGTGATTTTTGGTTTGAAATTTTTACGTTACACCAGATCCTAATTTTTAGTTGGCCAATTGATATCGATCCGCCAGGGACGATGAATTTATGCTGCAATAAACCATTAATTATGCATGCAACAAAAGTAAATTATGCCTTTTTGATGTGCATATATTTTTTTTATAATTATGTGCGCATTCTGCATCCAAAATTTATATTTATGTATGATTGTGCTACGTTTTGTGCCATACGTAGCACATAATTTAGAACAGAAACAACCATCCGGAGTACTTCGGAACTTCAAATTTTTTCTCGACCTTGCTCGTAATTTATTTTCTATTCAGAACTGTACTTAGAGAGCCAATTATGCAAAAAAATTTACTTCATACGTAGCAACATACTTTATGCAGCATTATGCGGCAAATCTAACCTATTATGTATTATCGATTATATTATGCGGTTTATGCGATTTTACGTCCCTGGCCCTATTGCTGTTCTCACCATTTTAAAGGTTTGGAACATACAAATAAGTACGTACTAAAAATAACTATTACTGCTATATATCATTATTTAATAACTCGGATACCAACATCAGAAACTTATTGTTAAAACCTGGATGCTGATATTAAGGTTCCTGCTATAGCGATAACATGCGGGAACTACACAAAAAAAGATAATCTGCGCATATTGTCATCCCATTGAATTCAATGATAACGCTGCATTTAGATCGAATTCAATGGTACGCAGCATTAGAAATTAAGTTTTTTACCATTTAATTCAATGACACGCAGCATTTAGATCGAATTCAATGGTACGCAGTATTAGAAATTATTAAGCTTTTTTTACCATTGAATTCAATGATACGCAGCATTTAGATCGAATTCAATGGTATGCAGCATTAGAGATTATTAAGCTTTTTTTTTTTTTACCATTATATGCATCCCACAGTCATTCATGCAAGAATATTATTAACCAAAAAATCATTAAGATAAAAAGATATTTAAAATATAAATAAAATATCAGTGAATTGCTTCTATTAAAATCATAAACGATTCGTGAGAAATAATCATAACACGGCAACTTATATAATTAAAAATCACATTTTAGAAATATGAGTCAAGATCCAAGCATAATTGAAAAACATCAAGAGGATTTAAAAAATGATGCCAAAATTCGTGAATTGTGGATTAAGAATGTTTGCGATCACAATAAACAACCAAACATTAAAACTAAAGAAATTTATGACTTTATTATCGTGGGAGCTGGTACTGCGGGATGCGTACTCGCTAGAGAATTGATTTATTGCATTCCAAATATTAATATTCTAGTATTGGAAGCCGGAGGTCCTGATGTTTCTTCTAACGGTCTAGTTAACTTGCCATGTGCTTCCTTTAAGGTGATACCATTAAAGTCATCCTTGGATCGTGATAGTCATTATATTAATTAAGCCGTCACTTGTCATCTTTACAATATAGATTTTCGAAGTAAGAGACCATGATTGGGGATATATTACTCAGGAACAAAGAATGTCAAGTTCTGTAAATCCTACTAAAGAATTGGTAATTGAAGGATTTCCTTACACACGAGGAAAGATTTGGGGTGGAAATAGTTCCTTGAATACAATGGTTTACATGTAAGTTTCACAGTTGTAACTTTATTTTACTATATTTTTCTAAGTTATATCTTCATTTTTAGGCGGGGTCAAGCAAAAGAGTATAATGATTGGGCAGCTCAAGGTCCTGAATACAAAATTTGGGATTGGGATCATTGTCTAGAAGGTATGACTTTATTATTTAACTTGAGTTACAGTAATTTTTGTTTTATTCATAAATATATACGGTATTTCTTTTAAAAGCGTTTAAAGCAGTAGAAAATAATTCACGAGAAAAACCAGATGAAACGTTCAAAAAATTTCATGGATTTAATGGTTTACTTCATGTACAAGATAGTCAAAACGGGATTTACGATGTTATGTCAGGCTTAATTGATGCTGCAAAAAACCTTGGTATTCCTCATAACGATGATTTTAATGGAGAGAGACAAAATGGTGTTGGAACATTTCAGGTGCTTTAATAATAAACCTTCTAGATTACATATTTACATTTTTTTTTAACACATTGGTTAAATTATAGTTCACAATCAAAGACGGGAAAAGATGCTCTTTAGTAGATGGTTATCTAAGAGATGCATTAAAGAAAGTTGAATTACATCCAGATTCAAACTCTAATGGTTTTGGAAAGGTTGTAGCAGTAGATGTTAGGTCATTTGCTCATGCATTAGATATTATTTGGGACGAAGAGAATAAAGAAGAAAATATTGCGATAGGTGTAAGATACTTTTGTAACGGTGTTATACGTGAGGCCTTTATTGCTCCAAAAGGAGAAGTTATTTTATGTGGTGGTGCTATTAATAGCCCTCAGGTAAAAATATAACAATCATTAGCTGATATAAAAATGTATTATCATAAAATTTTACTATCTTTTTTTTTCAAGATCTTAATGCTTTCTGGTATTGGACCAAAAGAAAATCTTAAAGCAAATAATATAAAAGTTCGTAAAGAACTACCAGTTGGAAGAAATCTATTAGATCATCCGCTTTGTTGCATTGTTGCTAAATCGACTCCAAATGCAATCCACCATTGGAGTAATGGAGCTGAAGTTGGAATATTATTTAAAGCCAATGTTAAAGGAAATATTCCTTGCAAAGAGGACTTTTTTGACGAGAACCCAGATTTTCAAATTACTGGTATGTTTTGGTTATGATATAAAATTTCTGTAATTACATTCATTAATTGACTAATATTATATAAATAGCGACTCCTTGCGTAGATGGTTTTTTTGATCCTGCAATAGATCTTTTTAACAAGCATGATAAATTCCATGGGATCGCTCTAGTGTCCGGTCTTAATGTGCCTTCAAGTATTGGTTATTTAGAACTTAACAGCAGTAATCCATTTGATCAACCAAGGATAAATTTAAATTATTTTGAAAAATCCGATGATTTATATAGAATGATCAGTTCACTTAAATTATGTCGTGAAATACTTAAACAACCTCCATTAAGCACTGTTTATAATGTTAAGGAAATTGGAATTAATGATGAGTTTGGACAATGGTGCACTAATGAAGATATGAGTGATGAAGATTGGGAAAGGTTTATTTTGAAAAAGGCACGTATTTAAGAAACAAAAAAATTTTATTTTTTTTTATCAATAAATATCTTTTATATAAATCCTTATCTTTATTTGTTGCTTTAGGCGAGATCGTTCCATCCGTGTGGAACTGTAAAAATGGCACCAGAAACTAAAGATGGAGTAGTTGATCATCGACTTCGAGTTTATGGTACGAAAAATCTTCGTGTTGTTGATGCTTCGATTTTTCCATATATTCCAAGCGGAAACACGAATGCCCCTACAGCTATGGTTGCTTGGAGAGCAAGTCGGCTAATTATTGAAGATTATAAGCTATCATAATCATGAATGCCGATGGATATGTTCGGTCAAGAACTTGGACATGACAACTTATTAAATTTATTAAATAAAATAGTTATCACCCAATTTTACACGTGATTATACTTCTTTATATAATTTTTAAACTATAAATTCTTTGTCTTAAAGGTTTCGTTTTCTGTACTGTAATATTATAAATATACATATCTACAAATCGATCAAAAGAACCAGCCAATCAAACTAAATTTACAACGGTCGATGCATTTAGATACATTTATAACTTCTCTACGTGTTAACTTACACAAGGCGAAATTGTACAAGATCGTGAACGCATAGTTGGATTCTTTTCTTATCCGGGCTTTTATAACAGTTTTTTAAAAACGTTTCCGAGTTTAATACTACTTATATAAATTTAAATGTTAATTTATGCTGTTTTCAAGTGCCTCTCAATGTAATTGCCTATTGATTGAGATATTAATGCTTAAACACCACGATCAATTGATATAAAGATTACAATCGATACTTGAGTATCCCTTTTTATCTTTTTTATCGATTACAATTGTGGCTCCAAAAAAAAGATTATCCAATTATCTAGACCTTTAGCATCGAAGACTTTAACGTCTGAGATTTGTCTAATGAAACTTTGCCTTCAGTCATATTCGGCAACGCAACTATAATATTATATGAAACGGCATCGAAATATAATGAAGCAACGAAATAATTATTATTTTAATAAAATATAAACTCTTCACTGAATTTGCATTCTTGCACTGAGTGAAGAAAAATAGATGAAATAATTATATTCATTGTAAAATAACTAAAAGCTAGAAGGTAGTGTTTGTTTTTTTGAATATTCTGAATGTCTTTTATTCGCTATAATAGTTTTTAGCATGAAGAACAGCATAGTAATTGTTTGTAACGACGACAGCCTTATTGAAGATTCATATTGCGAAAAAACAAATAAAATAAGATAACGATAGTGACTGGATTCGTATTAACTTGTGGCTCGTGAATTAAACTCCGAAGAGTGTTCGACTCACAACAATTTATTTATTGAAAGTTTTGTAAAATATGAATTACAAAAGCGAATACCTTCAAATAGCGAGTTACGCAAACAAATATAACTCAAATTACATATTGTAAAGCAATTATCACAAATTACAAGTTATGAAAGCAAGTAGAACATTAATTATTCGTCAACTGTGAATAGAAAATAGGTGAGTAGAGAAACTGCAGAATACGTAATTATTCACATTATGTGCATCGAGATTTTTCGACTTCGCCAAGAGGTCCGTGTTTTTACTGTTCATTATTTTAATAGCGTGCTAGTAACTTCAACAATGGGTAATTTTAGCAGTGGGTATACTTGTAATTTTAGCTAGAAATTAGCATCAATGAGTCCCGATTAGTGCTATCATTGGTAATACTTTTTTTTTTTTTTTTTTTTTTTTTTTTTTTTTTGTAATCAATAATTAAGCATAACTATTAACTTATTTTTCAAGCGAACTTTGAGCGATGTTGATATATTTCAACAGCAGATAATTCATGTTTCAATAGTAAACGAGGTTCATTTTATTTGTCGGGATTTTGACCCAAATCCAAGGAGATTCACAATTTCAATAGATAGGTATTTGTTATTGCAATGTACTGCAGTACTGTATGTTTTATTACACGTTATTTGGCATCTTCGTAACTCAAGTTTCCAAATTTGTTTTTTGAAAAAACATAATTCCTATAAAGTTAACTGACAATTTCTATCTATAAATCTGATGATTTAGTCGGAAATTATAAATAAAAAGTAGATAAAATATTATTATTGACTAATTTAGATCCTGTTTTTCTTTCGTTTAGTGAAACATAATGAAAAAGAAAAGCATCAATCGCAGATTTAATCTCGCTTGCACAAAAAGTAATTCGCTGAGATTAACTTTAACGAATACTGTTGGGCAAACTGACGGGCCTTGAAATTATTTCTCTTTACTTTGTCTAACCGTGGATAGTCGATATGTGGAACTTGCTGACGATATAACAAAATTACATATCTTTTGAAAATTTTTATAAGCATTAACGAGAATTTACCCAGTTATCAATATTGAAACTACTACGTAATTATAAAACATACCGATGTTCACCAGTTCCCGATGGTGGACTCGGTGCATAATAATCATCAAGGTGCGTTGCTTCGGACAAATTTCCATCAGCTGTTTAAGAATCATAATATTTAACAAATATGATAATTTATAGGATATTTAGAATATTTAAAATGCAACAGAATGATTACATGGAATGTTTCCAACGATCCAATGACGCCATTCTCTAAGAGTTGGATTTTCACGACTCGGTGCATCAGGATCAACCTATGAAGGAAACGTTTTTATATGGCAAATAATGTGTAGCTGGTAATGAATTTTTCACAGAAACGATTTTACCATCATCAATGTAAATCGAGATTTATTATCGGAATCAGATCCATTAAACACAAAATTAACATCCGGAGCTTTACTCGTTTCTGTTAGAGACCAATAATTCAATTAGCAAACCCGATACCAACAGAGTCATAACAATTATAGCGTTATTTTTTTCATACCGTCAATAGTGAATTTATTGCCAAGTTCTACTTTCTTTTCACCGTATTTTAAATCAAGCAGTGCCTCTGGTTCAAACTCATCCATAACTTTATCAATAAAAATAAAAATATACAAGTGTAGAATTTAGTAAATTCTAAAAGTCGTAATTCTATTAGTCGGTAAAACATACCATCTGGAATAATTCCAGCCTTTTCAAAGATTCAATAATAGATTTAATTGCAGTAATAAGCATTTTTTTTTTGTCTTTCAATCAAGTTTGTATCGACCGTTCTAGATGAAAATAAATCATATAGTAATCGATTAACTTTTATATTCACTTTTAATTTGATTACATATTAATACTGTAACTATATGTTTACTCAATATCAAAAGCGTGAGAAATATCAATGAATGCCGCAGGCAAAACCTGAATATGATTATTAAAGCTTTCAATTGTAATGAATTTTCCGGAAAAAAATTGCACTGGGCAGATCGTCAATCTCCAAAATTCAGACCCAATATTAATAGGTAGGTTAGTGGTGCCATAAAAATGTCGCGGTGACGCAATCATCGACCGTTTCCGACTCATTTAATATTCCGAATTTAATAATGATCAAATAGTGATAACATTTACATTATATTAAATTGATATATCGATCATATATCAATGTTATTATGATCTAGGTCGGAAACGGTCAGAGATCACATGACCGCGACATTTTTATGGCACCACTAACCTACCTAATATTAATCGACTTTCTATAAAGAAGCCCTACCTATTCTATTACTAACTTTTTTAAAAAATTTGTCAGTCGGTTTAGAAACATAATAAATTACTCTATAAAGAACTTTCAAAACTTTTATTATAAGAACCATCAGTTCGTTACATGAGTTTTCAAGGTGCAACCAGGTGCTCACCATTATATCATGAGAAATCTACATAATTTTCCTGATTTCCCATTGCTGCATTGATTCTCTTTACAGCTGTTTGCAAAAGACGTGGAACGGTGCAGATCACCGTATCACTGGAAATTCGCGAGATTTCTAAGATTTCTTTCTTTTTTTAAATCTAACTTGTGATAGTGAAAGATTCTCACTAATTTCCTGGTAGATATAGTTTCTTGGCTATACGAAGAGTACTGAATCAAGTTAAAAATAATTTTTAATAATATTTATTTCGAAGATTTCCCAAAATGATCTTAGATGTATAGCGAAAACCATAGTATTTCTTTGAACTATAGTATTTCTTTGATACGATAG